GTAATTTGCCCATAGCCCTGCACCACTGGTGCATCATAGGTCTCTGGAGTCTAGGGGACAAGCCCAGGGTGCCACTACCCTTGCTCCTGCACGTTCCCGACGAGCCATCTTCTGTGGTGGTTTTGGCGGTGGGAGGTGAGGGGGTGTGAGCAACACAGTGGTGATGCCCCCTTTGCACCTACCAATGGTGCCCCATTTGCATCTGTGCCTGGGCGGCAGCACCACCCACCACTGTTGGTACACCACTGCCCTGCACCCTGATAGGGTCATCTCTGGTTGGGGGGGATACATTGTTTAGTTCAAATTTATTGTAAATGGGGCTGGTGGAATTTTATGGGCGTGAAGGAAGGTACGCGAGGTGCACAGGAGGCACCAATACAAATTCCAGTGCTCCTTCTATCCTCCCTTCTGGTTTTTAGATCCCCTTCCACTGCTAGCCGCAGGTGGATCAATCCCTGCTGGTGTGACAAGAGGCAGAAAGAGAAGAAGAGGATGCCAATGCTTCCTTCATGATCTCTCAACACCTGAAATATTATGCATTATAATTTATAGTTGACTTTCATCCTGACTTATATAGGCTTATAATATAATAACAGGTAATGCTAATAATAGCAGTCAATAATAGTTAGTGCTGGGGGGAAGTTTGACTTTTAAAGGGACAGATTGCACCCTGAACTGCTTTATTATGTTTTAGCCTAGGGGCTCATATTTTGGTTGCTGTTTATAAACCGGTGGACTGGATGAGGCTACTGGGGGAAGAGGAGGCCTCATTGGGGGCCCACTACAGTGTGGGGACCCCAACTCCAGGGGGCACGGTGACAAAGAGGCTGCAGAGAGCCCAGTGCCAATGTGGGCACAGAGACAGGGCTGCAGAGAGCCCGGTGATGACAGGAGGCTGAGTTATAGCAAGGCCCCAGAGAGGCAATGTTTAAATACCGTCTGTGAGGCTTGGGGCATGGTAAAGGGGTGGTTTTGGAGCCACGCATCTAGCCCATAAGGCTGAGGGTGTCCCGTGAGGCAACCATTTTGAGCAGACCTAAACTGGTCCAAGAACCCACAGGGTTCAGTGGAGTCCATCAGGACTGTGTCCAAACACAAATATGAGGGCAGCCTCCCTATTTATTATAATCACCAACAAGGCGTGGAAGACGAGGAAAGGGGTGCCCATTTGGCAAGACTGGCATGGTCACAGAGCCATAGGGGCATCATGGCCATCCCTGGGGACCCCATCCCATGACATGCTACCTTTACTGAACTTGTATTACTTCCTCCTCCTGGTTGCTGGCCACAAATACTGCTGAGGCTTCTCTTCTGTGTACCACTTGAATTGTGGAGGTTGTCTTTACAGGCTTTGGCCCGAGCATCAGCTCGTGTACGGTAAAAGTTGCACAAGTTCTGCAGATTCATTTCATATTATTCTAGCCCTCCTGCTGGTTGCTGGCCCTGTTTGCTAATGAGCGTATTATGGAATTGTAATTAGAGGATTGTTGCTAGCCACAAATGCGGAGGCTTTCTTCTTGGTTGCTGGCCAAGACCTCCAGCAAAGACCCTCCCAGGGTCTGGGTAGTAGGCTCAGGTCTGCAGGCTCTTTGCCCCACTTGCTGACCTCTGCCTTTCACCGCTACATTGCACCCTTGTAACTTTTTTGAATTGTTGCTGGCCACAAAGGAAGCTGTGTTTCTGAGCTATGACCACTGCAGTTGCAGAAGCTGAGGCTTATTCACTGGCTTTGGCCCAAGCATCAGCTCGATTTTGCACAAGTTCTGCAGGCCCATTTCATAGTCTTCTCGCCCTCCTCCTGGTTACTGGCCATGTCCCAGCAAATTTGGACTGGCGTACATGTCTTCTGAGTGGGGGAAAGCGTCTTGCTGGGGAAAACCCTCCCTGCCTCCCACATCAGCATAAGCTGGGCAAGTTCTGCAAGCGCGTTTCATTCGTTGCGGCAGAGGGCTCAGGACGCAGGTGGGGCCTTCCACAAAGGAAGCTGAGGCTTGAGTTTCTTTTCTGAATTGCAGAGGCTTTCTTCTTGGTTGCTGGCCAGGACCTCCGGGGTCTGGGTAGTAGGCCCAGGCATGGGCTGTCCGCCCCACTCACCCACCTCTGCCTTACACCTCTCTGTTGCACCCTAGTAACTTTCCAATCATTGCTGGCCGCAAAGGAAGCTGAGTTTTCTTCACTGGCTTTCGCCCGAGCATCAGCTTATTTTGTACAAGTTCTGCAGGCCCATTTCATAGTCTTCTCACCCTTCTCCTGGTTACTGGCCATGTCCCAGCAAATTCAGACTGGGGTACATGTCTTCTGACACCCACCCACTACTCTGCCTCCTGGAGGCTTCTGTCTCCTTGAGTTTCTTCTCTGACTTGCAGAGGGAAGGAAGATTTTAAATAAATAAGTATAACAGAAAGTAGAAAGTCCCCCCCCCCCCCCCCAACACAACCACCATCCCTCCCTCCCTAAGCTCTATGGCCAGCAAAGATGCCAAAGTTAC